GTTCGATTAAGTTTCATCTTATTTTATACTTCATATCTCATCGAGGTTCACGTGGAGTACGTGTTTTATCCGATCTTTAAAGTACCCGAGGCAACTAATGTTACGTGAGTGTGAAATGCACGCACGTCGCATAGAGACGATCAGTCTAAACTTGTGTCACTGGTTTGCCAGGAGATACTTAGCAGTTAGAATACAGCGCTTGACTACTGTGGGGAAGTACTCAAGGCATAAGACACTTGGTTTAAAGCTTTCTTCGCCTTGAGTTCATGTCATCTTGAAAGATTCATGATGAGCTTTATGATATCCTAGCAAAGCAATGAGAGGTAAGAGATAATAGAGAAGTTAAATTTCCAAGTTATAGAGAATATGAAGAGAGCGCCTAGGATTTTGAGTGAGCAGACCTTCGCTTTTCTAACGGTCCATCACATACGTTCTGTTGCAATCGAAATATTCATCGTTAAGTCTCATAATGTTTCCTCATTGACGTTGCTGGTATTTCAGTTCGCTCCTTTTTTTCTTAGTTATAGTTCTGATTCAGAGCTCCTGGTCACCACTCTTGTATAGGAGTAAGCAGGCGAGATTTAGGGTTCAGTGAAACGTAGCTTTCTGTTTCCAGATTTACAAAAAGGAGAGAAATATGTTACTGTTCGATGGAGGCCCACATCAGCAACGATGAGTGTTAGCTATGACCATCCCGCTCAGGTCAAGGGACTTGGAAGTTGCTCGTACGCAATAGTTCTCTCTTCCTCGTATTAATCGTTATCTTTTCAGTCGATCCAGATGTGTTCACTTCTTCCTTGTCCTGTTGGGAGTTGTTAAATTGGATGAGTAGCAGGTAAGAAGGAGGATTGAGCTATATTGAACATTTCCCTGTCTCAGTTAGACTTTAGATCCATGGATACACACGGTGAAACTCGTGATGTGCAAGCCACATGTCATATATTTTATTACTTCAAGAGTTGTTTCAGCTCAGAACTCTGCTGCAAAACTGATGATGAACCTCATCTCCTGATTTATTCATGATACTAGGAGTTGAAGTATGTTTTATCAGGTAGGGAACATGGAAAATACGGAGTGTTTTGGATGTTTAGAAACGACTGGTTATTCCGAAGAATTGCTGAGAAATTATAGTCTGTGTCTTCGAGATACAAAAGAACTTCATGATATCTGAGCGAAAAAATGAGAGGTTAGAGATATTAGAGAAGTCAAATCTCTTAACGTACATACTATTCGAATAATTCGATATATTAATGGTTTTGATTGATACCCCTTTCCCAACCCTTCCAGGGCTACCGATGCCTGAATGCTGCAGACCTTCTGACCGTTTCTTTGGAGATGAATGATGTAATGCAATCGTTCTGAGCGGTTGAGTATGGAATGCAACTATTCTGTGCGGTTCTTCATGGAATTCAACCGTTCTGAGCGGTCGAAGGTGAAATGCAACCTCTGGGTGCGTTTCAGATGAGACCCGGGCTTGTCCAGGTCTCATCTGTGGCTCGCGAGCTGACAACAATGGAGATCTGTTGATGAAGTTTCATTGAATGATAGAAATTATATATCCCACTCTTTCCAGGCGGTTAGTGATTAGGGGGATGACATTATAATCGTTGGCAGAGTTGTCACAAGTTCAACTGACCCTGTGGAGAAATGAAAAATTACAAAGTCGCAGGTTGGACCTCTTCATACCGATAATCTCGCACACTCCTCTGCATTCGAAGAAAGCGTCAGATATGTTTTTCACTTTTTTTATTGTGGTTTCATATTAAAATTTTATTTTACACTCGAATATCATGTTCGTGTTTGTATTCGTCGTTTTTATGCCAAAGAGCCATCGAAAATTCCTGGTTGGAACTTTTGAATGCTAAGTTGTTGTAGCCAGGTAAAGTGGAAGCTTACTAGGAGCCCCGTTAATAGAATGTGAAGGTTTGTTTTTCTCAGATATTTTTGTGTTGTTCGATTTTCTTCACCCATGTTTAGAAGATGTTGTCACGAGCGAAGTTCTGTATCTCGAGGACGTGAAGGCTTCGTCAGAGAAAGAGTTTTTTTTCCGGTGAAAGTCGAGACTTCCGAAATCGAAAGAAAAGTCTTCGAAACTCCGAATTCTAATGAAGATTTGGTATGGAATGTGATCGGTCAGAAGCTTCACTGCCACAGGCGAGTATGAGAGTTGATGCACATCATTCACATTTCAAATCTCAAATACTATCTTTGAACTCCAAGGTCTTCAAAGGTATTGTTGAAAGCAATCGAAAGCCTGCTGATTGGAGAACAGAATTCCAGTCGAAAATCTTCGCGAGCTTCTTCATTACATTTACTTCTTCTTCGAGCCTGTCGATGTTATGATATTTTCAGTTCGAACCTAGTCTCCTTAAGCCCTTAACGTATGTTGAGTCAAAGGGTGTATTCATGAGTTATCAGGAGTTACAGAAGATTTATTGTCTTCCGTATATCAGAACAGAGCCGAGATTGCTGTAAAAGGTTACATCTTTAGAAAGTATGGGGAACAGAGAGAGTGTTAATGGATGTTAGAGAAGCAGGACACCACCTTGCTGACGTCTAATCATGTTCGAAATGTACAAATAAATTGATCATCAAATCATTTTTCAGAAGTTTTAATGTTTTATCTACCGCTCTTCTTTTTTCATAAGTGATTTGCTAATATAAACTATAAACTTTCATCCTGTATTAATTTGTTTCAGATATCTTCATGTATGTGTAGAATACGGTTAGGAGAGGACGTCAACGATGGGTTGTTTTTTTTTCAGTTCACAGGACTTGGTAGTTGATCGTACGCTTTAGTTCTCTCTCCCTCCAATTAATCGTTATTATTTTAGTGAATTCAGTTGGGCTCTTGTCTGTAATTGATAAACTTTTGTATTGGTTTATGAGTTACCAACAACAGAATGAGAAGGCGCTTTGGTTTGTATTTATTCCTAACATTCAATTGTAGATTTAGTTTCCTCCGACGACATCCGAAAACGTGTAACTCAGGTGAAGTCGACGATGATTGAACTTCATGAAGATGAGAATTAGGAAAGATGAAGTTGTTTGTAATCATGATTTCATTCATTTCAGTTCATCGTCCTGGAAAGAAGTCGAGGCGAGAGCTACTACAAGAATCTATAAGTTTTGAACTTGGAATCTCACTGTACGTGTCAGCGTTATCTGTATTTACCAAATCTCTGTTTCAGTTTCTTGAAGAGTTTTCACTGATTCCTTGTCCTCAGCCTATTCAACAAAGGGAATGAGTAACAGGTAAGTGCGAAGTGCTCAACGAATGGTTTTTTCTTCATTAAGATTTAGAAGTTGGAGAGTAATCTGTTACAGTTGAATGGAGGATTGCAAGAACAACGAATGGGTTCGTAGCTACGAGCATTCCACTCATGTCAAGGGACTTGGAAGTTGATCGTACGCATTAGTTCTCACTTTCTCGGATTAATCGTTATCTTTTCAGTCGATCCAGATGTTTTCACTGCTTCCTCGTCTTGTTCGGAGTTTTCAAAGTGAAGGAGTAGCAGGTAAGAAGGAGGATTGTGAATAAGCTAACGGTTTCTTACTACTGATGCCTGAGGGCCCCAGTCTTACCGAGCGTGCCGTCCGTTTCGGCCTGGCCGCGGAAGATATTGTGGGCCAGTTCTGTAGTCTGTTGGGAGAGGGGCAGGAGCCTAGACCAATGAGATCCCTGGGAGAGCTCTGCGGCCTGGTCTAGGTTCCTTAGGGTCCGTCCCCTCGGCTCCCTGTTGCTCTAGCTGCTCACAAAGTGTTTGGGTAGGTCTAACAACTGTTTGATTTGCTTGAATACTTCGGTGAGCTTGGGGATGCACAGAGTAAGAAGCTGTGGGGATGCAGGGGGGAGAGCTCCTCGCGGGGACCCAAAAACCAAAGGCCAAAAAGAAACTATAATAAAGATTTCGATGAGGTGTTGGTTCGATTGCAGCGGCTGTGTTCATCGTCCACTGAACTGTCTACATTCTGATGTTCCTTTGTTTTTATAGTTATTTTTGTTCAAGGTTCATCAGTGTCAGACCCAGTTTCTGCTCCTGAGTATGGAGAGATGTGACACAGGGCTGTGAATTTGCAAGAAACTCGGTTTTCTTCAGTTGGAAAAGAGAGTTTTTACCAATGTTTTGTATTTTTTCAATAAAGTTTTCTGGTTTAAAATTTCTGAGAATATTTCAATTATTTCAATTTAAATCAAGTTTTTCTTCATTTAATTTATCTTATATCTGCTACTATTTAATATTAAAATGTGTTTTAAAATGCAATGTTTCAGTTCTAGACCTCGGTCGTACTCTCGTATCATGCTCAGCTTCATCAAACTATAGTTCGTGATCTTAAACAAAGAGGAGTTGATTCTTTCTGAGTACTTACCTGAATTGTACAGCTAATATTCACCTGTCGTGAATAGACCAGCATGGAATGCGACCCTTCTGAGCTCATGCGATGTTGCCTTATTTGCCGAGGATACTATCAATGTGTCACGAGTCGATGTTCTTTCATACCGCTTCTTGGAACATCTACTACGACAAAGGAGTGTGGTTCGCCGACACATACGGACAACTTGTGAAGAACTGTGAATCACGAGCAACGTGAAACACATTTTTAGAGGAAAAAAATTCGGTCGTTCATGGAATTGAAACAGGTGAACCAATGAACATAATCTATATAAAGTCCAAGTTGCAAACATGATAATCAGGAGTTGAAGCTTTCTCATTTAGAGATGATGAAGAACAAAGAGGGAGCTCTGGAACGTTAGAGAAGCAAATCTTCGCCTTGCACACGTTCAATCACGTATGAAGTTTTATCGGATAATTGGATTAACTGATAATTTTCGATATGTTCAACTTCAATTCATTGTTTTGTTAGAAGGTTGAAAATCATTCTGTCTTGATCCGTTTCAGACGTCTGCGTTCAGATATTCGCTACAGTTGTGAATGCAACCTGTCTGAGCTTATGCGATGTAGCCTAATTTGCCCAGGGTACTAGCGATGTGCCTCAAGCCGATCCTTTCACATCCCTCTTCTTGGAGCGTACCCAAAGAAATAGGAGTGAAGCTCACTGACTGACACCGCCAACTGATCCGTTATAAATCTTCAATGATTTATATACCCTTCGTGAGAAGCCGTGAACTACGAGTTACGTGAAGCATTTTCACATGAAAGAAGAATGAAACGGTTGTTCTCCTCATACAGCAGGTGAAAGTTGGTTCTGAAAATGTCAGTGAACTTTATTATATCTCAGGCATTTCCAGGTCAGAGATTCAATCTAAACAGCATTATGAGGTTAGTTTTTTGATATAACATGAGCTTTAGCATATCTCTTGATTAACTGTTGTTTCTTCAAGCAAACAAGACAGAATGGCTGATCCGTGTCTTCTTCTGATTTGGAAACAGGTATTTGTAGTTCGGCTCTGCTCATGCTTAGAATCATTTGTAGGACAATCGCCAGATATTCGAAAATGAACTGAGTTGCCAAGAGTTCGTGTCGATGGTTTTTCACTTTGTACTAATTGTCTTCTGAGTTTCAAACCTTTCAGGGTTAGATAAGATGAATGTTCGAAGTTGCTCACATACATTTCAATTGGCCATCACTTGAAGCATGGTGGTGAGAATGCTCGACAGATCTGTAGAGAGGTAGCAAACCTTATCCTTCAATTCAATCGTTATCTTTTCAGTTGATCCAGATTTCACTGCTTCCTCGTTCTGTTCGGAGTTGTTGAAGTGGATGAGTAGCAGGTAAGACGGAGGATTGGGAATAAGCTCATGTTATCTTTTCTTTATAGACTCACATACGGAAAGTAATCTGTTACTGTCGAATGGAGGATTGCAAAAACAACGAGTGGGTTCGTAGCTACGAGCATTCCACTCATGTCAAGGGACTTGGAAGTTGATCGTACGCATTAGTTCTCACTTTCTCGAATTAATCGTTATCTTTTCAGTTGATCCAGATGTTTTCACTGCTTCCTCGTCTTGTTCGGAGTTTTCAAAGTGAAGGAGTAGCAGGCAAGACGGAGGATTGGGAATAAGCTCATGTCTTCTTTCAAGGTTTACAAATGGAGAATAATCTGGTACTGATTGATGGAGGATAAGATCAACGACGATGGAGGACAAGGATACCCCTTTCCCAACCCTC